GTCATGAAACTGGCTGAGAGACACCCTGGGGTACTGGACTATTAATCCGAATCGAAATTTTTCTGTGGAAACAGGGAGTTTCCTTTTTAGAGCTATTCAAAATCAGACAAAACTGGTCCTACATGAGTTTTTGGAGGGCTTTTATTTTGTAATGCAACATCAGATCGTCCTGAAACTGGCTGAGGGACACCCTGGGGTACTGGACTATTAATCCGAATCGAAATTTTTCTGTGGAAACAGGGAGTTTCCTTTTTAGAGCTATTCAAAATCAAAGACAAAACTGGTCATATATGAGTTTTTGGATGGCTTTTATTTTGTAATGGGAAATCTTTTGTGTGAAAACAGGGAGTTTTCTTTTTATAACTATGTGAATTTACAGATAAATATGGTTATATACAAGATCATTAAATGGTTTTATTTTGTTATTTCGCATCAGACAGTTATTTTTTTTATTTGAAAATTCTACATTTAATTTTTATCAGACCGTTTTTTAAACATTTGTATTATTTTAAATACATTCATTCATTCATTGATGGAGAAACTGGCTCAATACATGAATGCCAGAGACATGGCGAGGGCGAGAGTGATAATGCATGAGAGCATGAACGCTTTTCCCTTGATCTGAGGATTACACGCTATTACCATAACGCCTAGTATATGCGCGCACCACAAAACAACGTGGCGGCTAGAATGACCGTATTTTTCAAAGTGGAGGCTGGCCTGACCGCAGTGCTGAGCTGGGATGGCTCGCGGGAGAGCTCGTGGGTGATTCCCGTTTATATCATTAAGCAGAGGTTCAAACTCCTGTCCGAACACCACTGGCCACGAGCTTTGGGCTCTGCTCTCACGGAGAATATTTCCTTATATAGCATAATTCATTTTAGATGAACTAGAAACAATGTTTAATTTATAAAATGTTATTTTGAAATGTAAGTCAATAACAATTGGCTGGAGCCAGAGCCAATGGTGAAAGTCTTTGCGCGAGGATACCCCGACCCATTTTGGAGGTTCTGCCCACTTTTGGAGTTCACGCCCCATTTTGTAGATCTCCGGTCTGCAGTTATATCTACTTGATTTTTTGCTGGCGATGAGCCGACTGAACGTGCAAATTCCCTCCCTGACATTAGATGGTGCCTAATGAAAAACAGAAATACCCCAGTACACATCAAATCCTATTTGTTCTGCAATTCCTTTCCATAACAACTCCCTCTTTTCAAGATTTTTGTAGTCGCTGTCGCGTTTGTCATAAAGCTCTTTGTGTTCAGACACCATGAGACCAGCAGCTCTACATTCATCTTGCCTCGATGCATCTTCTTGGTCTACTTACTTCCTCTTCGTTGTTAGGTATAAATGTGTGCTCGGCAAGACCGTTGTGTGCTTGAGCGCCACCAAGTCGTGTTTTACTGTAACTTCAGCAGCTCCAAGCACGTGAACAAAAGCGGCAATCTCATTGGTCGGCCAGTTTTTAACGTGACGCGTCAAACCAAAAAAATGAGCCCGAGGCGTTTTTAAAAAAATGACGCTTTTACGCCTCGCGTTTTGCGCGTCAGTGTGCACACTCACATTGGCGCCCTTTGTTTAGTCACGAGGCGTTAAACGTTGGCGATAATCGCGTGCGATATTCATCCTGGTGTGAACAAGCCTTAAGGCTATAGCATAAAGCCACGTACACACCGGGACGATTATCGCGCGTGCTTATCGCCAGCGTTTTTCGACGCTTCTTGTGTGTTCATACCCAAGCGATTTTCGCTGGCGATGAGCCGAGTGAACGTGCCAATTCACTCCCTGACATTAGATGGCGCTTAATGACAAATACCCAAATGATTCGAACACATCTAATCCTATTTACAATTTCTGCTTTGGGTGAGAGTGATCTAATGTTTAGGAGCCCAAACTTTAAAAATTGCTTTTGTTCATTTATTTGACATTTTTCTGGTTTAATCTAGATCCTGCATTCAATTTATATTTTCGGGGAACAGACACAGTCTTTATAGATTGTACAGCGCAAGTACTTCTATCATTTAAGCGGGTAGAACAAAAGTCATCAGGGCAGTTATTTGAGATTTGACTTACTAGTCATATGGATCGTAGCGTCCTGGAGATAAAAAAAAAGCGAAAAAAGCCTAGGACGCTCCCAGAAAAGATTCCAATTATTAACAAAGGGCAGGTTCTGTTCTTTACACCATGACAATAACCATTCATTTAAAGCAAAAAGTCTACTGAACATTTCGTGTTCTCGTCGATAAGACATGCCGGACGATGGTGTCTCTGACGATCACAGCGTCGCGTTCCGTCTCGCGGAGGGGAGTGAAGCGGTTTCGGGTGGAGATCTCGAAGACCAGAGGCGGCGGAGGGGGAGAGGTCATCGCTCAGGGTCTGGCTCGCATCTTCCGGTGCGGGTGCACCCAGGGTCCGTGGTGTCCCGGCGCCGGAGTGAAGGACATCTGGGAAGATCGCGTCCTGGGTGCACCAGGCCTGAGCAGAGAAACACACGGAGTAGAGGTGGTGGGAGAGTTAGCAGCGGGCTGTATACTTACCCCGGACTTGTGAGCGTCAACCTGAGATGTTTGTCAGCTGGGCCTGCCTCTCCACCAGGTCACGGATCTGCTTTTACACGGCCTCCAGCTCGAGCTGCACCGAATGCAGCTCGAACGTGTCTTCACCTGCACTCAAAGGTAGACATATATCCGCCATTAAAGCAAGTAACAGTGAGTAAAACAATGGTAATGTGTGTGAATAGAGTATTAGCAATGTAAGCGAGATTAGCGGTAACCACGCCGGCGATGCTACTATAAGCTAATAGCGGACTCGGGAAATCAAAATAAAACTAGTGATAACAAGGCGCTCTGATTGTTTTTGTTGTAGAATACGATAGGGGATATATTCACACGGTATATAAACGAAAAGGATGGTGTATAAAATTGATTTTAAGATAAAAAATAGACAACAAAGAATTAACTTGACGGAGCTCAAACTCAAAACACACGGCAACAACAAACCACAGCACAATCGATGTTTCTACCATTCCAAATTAGCATTTTTTTTTTCAAAACTACTCCAAACTTAAAGCTTGATTGAATTAAATTTTAATTTTATTATGTTTGACTGAGAAACTATTTGTGTTTGTTCTGCAGGTGTGTTTGGTGATACAGATGCAGTGAAGTCAGTGTCAGTGACTGAAGGAGAGTCACTCTTAGAGCAATGACGTAATTGATGACGTCTGAAGCCTTGCTTGGCCTGACTGGTTCAGGAAGCGGTTCAAATCTTATAAATTCACAGTCCTCTGCCCTGTTAAACCCAGCCACTTTCCAGTTTTAGACTAATAATAATGCTCCTCCTGCCTATTATGAGCAAATACTTGATTTACACACATTTGATAGCCCCATTCATTTGAAGCCAATACGTTTATTACACAGTTATGTTATACAATCATTATATACACCTAGAAAATACACATTATATTCATATAAATAGATTAGTCTATGTGGAAATTGATTTTTTTTTCTTCACCATTATTTCTAAGCCTTAACTGGCACAAAATACAGTGTATCACAGATCACATCAGGTCATCTGTAATGTATCTGCTTGTTTTATACTCTTTGGCCACCAGGTGGTATTGTGAGCAAATGAAGCCTCGAGAAATGAACCCTTTTGTGAACCACTTGGCTGAAAAGCTTCAGTGCTTCATGAGGCTTCATCTCGCCATCACTACTAAATGCTAACAAGGTCATAAAACCTCAAAGAACTCTTAAACTCAACCAACTAGAGAGAGTCAAAACCAAAATAACAAAAACACATTCTGCGGGTGCACACAACAGTCACAATCCAAAATGTCACACACCCTTCTTCCCGCTGATGTTCTCCTTTTGAACCTCTCGGACAAGAGCTTGATTGGCGAAAGAAATGTGTTGTCATAATTAACTAATGATGAATGACAGCAAAGATAGCCAATATAATCCAAGGAAGGCGGTACCTAAGAACATGAGAGTGAGAACAGAGAAGAGACAAAAATAAATATCATGTACAGCACAAAAGGTCACAGACCGTAACAGTTATACTAGAGGTTAAAGAGTCAAACATAATCACATAGAGAGATAGTATTAGAATTAAATTAACAAATAACTCATCTACATGTAATAGACATGTATTTATATGAACCTGTATTGTACAAAAAAAAGCTGACTTTAATCAGTCACTTCATTTGTTCCAGCAGCTTCTTCTCTCAATGCATTCAGATCAAAAGTCATTATTTAAAAAGCTAACAGCCATTCTGAGAAATTAAAACCACACAGAAAATGTTAGCAAAAAAATTCTGCAGAACAGCAGTAGCCATTTAATTCTGATACACATTAGCAGTAAACAAATGATTCTGCTGTCTATTTAATAGTATTGCAAACACAATCATACCACAGAAGGCCTAGTTTAATACCTGGAAAGAGATGTGGTTTTATGTGTTTTGCTAGACAGCATGTGCATGAAAATGTGTCTATACTGGACATCTGTGGTTAATGTACAACCCGAATTCCGGAAATGTTGGGACGTTTTTTAAATTGGAATAAAATGAAAACTAAAATAATTTCAAATCACATGAGCGAATATTTTATTCACAATAGAACATAGATAATGTTTAAACTGAGAAATGTTACAATTTTATGCACAAAATGAGCTCATTTCAAATTTGATGCCATCTGAAGACATCTGGGCATAGAGGTTATGAGTTTCTGGAGTTTTGGTGTTGGAATTTGGTCCCATTCTTCCCGAATATAGGTTTCCAGCTGCTGAAGAGTTTGTGGTCATCTTTGACGTATTTTTTGTTTAATGATGCGCCAAATGTTCTCTATAGGTGAAAGAGCTGGACTGCAGGCAGGCCAATTCAGCACCTGGACTCTTCTACTACGAAGCCATGCTGTTGTAATAGCTGCAGTATGCGGTTTTGCATTGTCCTGCTGAAATAGACGTGGCCTGGAGGGGAGCATATGTTACTCTAAAACCTTTATATACCTTTCAGCATTCATAGTGCCTTCCAAAACATGCAAGCTGCCCATACCGTATGCACTTATGCACCCCCATACCATCAGAGATGCTGGCTTTTGAACTGAACGCTGATAACATGCTGGAAGGTCTCCCGGAGGACACGGCGTCCGTGATTTCTAACAAGAATGTCAAATTTGGACTCGTCTGACCATAGAACACTTTTCCACTTTGAAACAGTCCATTTTAAATGAGTCTTGGTCCACAGGACACGACGGCACTTCTGGACCATGTTCACATATGGCTTCCTTTTTGCATGATAGAGCTTTAGTTGGCATCTGCAGATGGCACGGCGGATTGTGTTTACCGACAGTGGTTTCTGGAAGTTTTCCTGGGCCCATTTAGTAATGTCAGTGACAGAATCATGCCGATGAGTGATGCAGTGTCGTCTGAGGGTCCGAAGACCATGGGCAACCAACAAAGGTCTTTGGCCTTGTCCCTTACGCACAGAGATTTCTCCAGTTTCTCTGAATCTTTTGATGATGTTATGCACTGTAGATGATGAGATTTGCAAAGACTTTGCAATTTGATGTTGAGGAACGTTGTTTTTAAAGTATTCCACAATCTTTTTATGCACTCTTTCTTTCTTTTTCTTGCTTTTTCAGCCCTTTGTTGCCCCCGTGCCAACTTTTTTGAGACCTGTAGCAGGCATCAAATTTGAAATGAGCTCATTTAGTGGATAAAAGTGTAAAAGTTTTCTGTTTAAACATTTGTTATGTTCTCTGTGTTCTATTGTGAATAAAATATTGGCTCATGTGATTTGAAAGTCGTTTAGTTTTTCATTTTATTCAAATTTTAAAAATGTCCCAACATTTCCGGAATTCGGGTTGTACATTAGTGTGTGCATGTCTTGAGCTGTGAAAAGTGTGTTTCATTGAATAGCATATAAGTCCACAATTTGCATTCCTCTTAATGCAAAACGGTTTTACTGCAAAATAAAGTACATAACATATGAATGCTGATGTTTGACAAAAAAGATTACTGGTTGATTGTGAAATAATATAAAATATCATATATGTGTATGTGATATGTAAGATTGGTGTTCAGCAGCATATGCATCTGTCTATCGCAGATTTCTATCAATCGTTGATTTACATATTAATGCAGTGATCCTGCAGATAAGAAGTGTTAGTTTCAGCAGAAGTTATTTCTAGCTCTAGCAACACTTAGAAGTCGTTTCTGAGAAGTTTCCACTATCCACCATCGAGGACAAACAAGGTGAATCATTTTAAGAATAAATGAATTGCAATGAAAATAGAAAGCATTATTTAATACAAGTTGTGGTATTTATGCAGTAATAATTTACTGGAAATTGTGCAGAAGTGATGATTATGCTAAAAGGAAAAAAATATGAGAATGAGAATTTTGTTTTCATTCAATTTTGGGAACTGCTATAAGCAATATTTTTCATTAGTATATATATATATATATACAGTGGTGTGAAAAAGTGTTGGCCCCCCTCCTGTTTTTAAATTTTTTTGCATATTTGTCACACTTAAAAGATTCAGATAATCAAACAAATTTTATTATTACACAAAGATAATGCAAGTAAATACAAAATGCAGTTTTTAAATGATTATTTATTTTATTAAGGGAAAAAAGCTGTCCAAACCTGCCTGGCCCTACGTGAAAAAGTAATTGCCCCCTAAATCTAATAACTGGTTGTGCCACGCTTTGTCCTGCTGCATAACCCAAGTGCACTTGAGCTTGAGGTCTCAAACTGATGGCCGGACATTCTCCTTCAGGATTTTTTGATAGAGTGCAGAATTCATGGTTCCGTCAATTATGGCAAGTCGTCCAGGTCCTGAAGCTGCAAAGTAGCCCCAGATCCTCACACTACCACCACCATGTTTGACTGTTGGTATGATGTTCTTTTGATCAAATGCTGTGTTGGTTTTACATCAGATGTAACGGGACACACACCTTCCAAAAAGTTAAACTTTTGCCGCATCAGTCTACAGAATATTTAGGGGTCGCTATGGGGAACGCCTCGTCGTGACCCGTGTCTATAGCATACATTGAAAAAACACCAACTTGTTGGCCAGCGACAGCCATGACGTCAATACCGGTGCGACTATAGTATAAATAGGTGCCGGGAGCACACAGGAGTTTTGTTTGAAGCGTGCATTTCTGTGGTAAGAGCGATCTCTATTCATCTCATTATGGCGAGCACTAGCAAAGCGTTTAAGGATGTGTGCATCCGTGTTGACGTTGTTTAACATCTGATGACACACACGATCTATGCGTTATTTGTTTGGGCGAAGAGCATGCACGTGATGCCTCAGAGGGGGCAATCGGCGTGCACTGCAAGCGGTTTTTCCAAGGGAAAAGCTCCGCTCTCGTTTGTCTCTCTTTTCGAGGAAAGAGGGGCAGCCGTCTGCTTCCCGCGATTCAGGACCCACCGCTGCTGAGGCACGGAAGGGAATGAGCCCGTGGGGATCGCAGGTGGATCTGGCCGATGAGTTTGAAGAGGGGTTTCCCTTTC